CCGTCCTTTGTGATTACGAAGGATCTTTTTGGGACACACTCTGAGAGGGTGCAGATATCTGTCCCTCCTCATCCTTTCCTGCCTACCCACTTCAGTGTCAATGGCTGGGTGCTTCCTCAAAGTTGGCGCCTGTGTCTTCTGATCCATCCGTCATTTTCTGAGCATCTCCTCACTTTCTGCCATCACAAGATTTTCCAGGCAGGCTCATTTTGCATTTTTCCCTGCCCCAGCCCCGGAATCAACCATTTCTCCAAGGATCCTTGGTTTCTCTTCATGAAGAATGGTATTTAGAAACCAAGGTCTGGGCCTCGGGTGTACCACATAAGCATTCTCAACTGCCAAAGACACTACCAAATTGCCTTCCGCAAATGCGCCAACTCCTCCCCACCACACACCACAAGAATGTCCACTTCCCCACCTCACCAATGCTCTTTTACACTCTGGTGATCTGACGGCTATTGGTAATGTCTATTTCCCTGTTATTAGGAATACTAAACACTTAGGTTTATGGCGATCATGTTTCTTCTGTGAATTGTTCACATCCTTTGTCCTATTTTCTACTGTTGTCTTTTTATCCGTTTGCTGGTTCTCTTCATATACTGTGAACAGTAATCCTCTGCTTGTAAGTGCTGCAAATATTTCCTCCAAATACACTGCTTGTCTTAACTTTCTTTATACATACCTTTATATATATATATATATATATATATATATATATATATATATGCACACACACACGCACACGCACACACACATTGTGTATACATATATACACTTTGACCTATAATCCATCTGGAGTTTTGTTTCTTTGTTTTTTAAGTATAGAATTACAGGGGAATCTAAATTTTTTTCTGAAAGGATGGTCACTTGTCATTACCATTTGCTGAAAACACATCCTTTTCCCACTGAAATGTCACCATGATCAGTGCAAGGTAGGCCCAGGTTGTACCCCCGCTTCACCATTTACTGGCTATTTGTATGCAAGTTGCTTACTCTTTCCATGTCGTTAGTTTTCTCATCTAGGAAATGGAGAAAATTTTCCTACTTCATACAGTTATTGTAAAAGTGCTTAAAACAGTACAGACATCTAGCAAACACTTGTTACATGTTAGTTATTATTATTATAAACTGAATTTGCACACAAACATTGGTCCATCTAGACGGTGCTGTCCAAAATAAAAATAATGTGAGCCAAATATGTAATTTTAAGTTTTCCAGTAGTCACATTAAACAACTAAAAGAAACAAGTAAAGGGGCCAGCCCCATAGCTTAGCGGTTAAGTGTGCACGCTCCGCTACTGGCGGCCCGGGATTTGGATCCCGGGTGCGCACCAATGCACCGCTTCTCCGGCCATGCTGAGGCCGTGTCCCACATACAGCAACTAGAAGTATGTACAACTATGACATACAACTATCTACTGGGGCTTTGGGGAAAAAAAGGAAGAGGATTGGCAGTAGATGTTAGCTCAGAGCTGGTCTTCCTCAGCAAAAAGAGGAGGATTAGCATGGATGTCAGCTCAGGGCTGATCTTCCTCACAAAAAATAAATAAATAAATAAATAAAATAAAAGAAACAAGTAAAAATTTAACTTTAATATATTTTATTTAACCCAATATATCTAAAACATTATTCTTTCAACACATAATCAATCTAATAAATAATTTAAAAGATATCTTGCATTATGTTGTCGTGCCAAGGTTTCACACTCAGAGCACAGTCCTCAATGGTGGCTACCACAGGAGACAGCACAGGCCTGGCCAGCTCACTGATTCGGCTGCATGTTCTTGTAACGATCCCACACATGTACATGCAAGAAAAGCACTGAGAAAAGTGAACATCCGTTCATGACTGAAAAAAAGCTCTAGGCAAACAAAAAAACAGAAAGAATCTTTTTTAACACGATAAAGGGTATCTACAAACAACTTCTAGGAAACGTGATCCTTGGCGGGAAACCCTGAGCACTTTTCCTGTAAGCCTGGGAGGAAGCGAAGGGTGTCCACTCTCAGCAACTCCACCCGTGCTGTGCTGGAGGGGCTTCTGGTCTGATCTTTCTCAACCAAGGAGCCCCCAGAGACTCAGGCCCCAATGCCCTGGCCAAGTAAATAGGGCAAGAAAAAAGGCATGCGGATGGGAAAGAGGAACAAAATGAAACCATTATTATCACAGTTGGTTTGACTATTCACCAAGAAAAGTAAAAGAACCTAAAGATAAATTGTTAGAGTCATTAACAGACTTGAACAAGACTGCGGGGTTACGAGATCAATATATAAAGCACAAATGCATTTCAATACATTAGCAACCAACAATAATTAAATACCAATATAAATCTATCAACAATGTACAAGAGTTTTATGGAGAAAAATTCTAAAATTTTACTGAAAGACTTTAAAGAAGTCTTTAAAAATGGGGAGAGAAACCATACTCAAAAATGGAGAGAGAAACCGTATTCATGACTCAGTATACTAAATGTGTCTGTTTTTTTCCAGATGATCTATAAATTCAGTGCCATTGCAGATCACAACCCCAGCAGGTTTTACTTGTTTTAGGGATTCTATGACAGCATGGTACTGGCATGGGACAGACCCACAGGACAGAATGAAGAGCCCAGAAACAGCCCCACACAGACATAAACACTTGACACATGACAGAGCTGGGCACACAGATCAGTGGGGAGAAAATTGCAGATGGATTTTTCCATAAATGCCGCTCGGGATTATCCTTCCCATGAATACCAGGAAATATGAGCAGGAATGTTCACAGCAGCATTCAGAGCAATAACTCCAAACTGGAAACCACCTAAATGTCCATCAACAGTAGAACAGATTTTTTTAAACTGTGGTATACTCAAACAATGAAGTATTTTACGCTGGTAAAACAGAACAAACTATGGCTACAAGAAACAACGTGAAGGGCCGGCCCCGTGGCTTGGCAGTTAAGTGCGCACACTCCCCGCTACTGGCGGCCCGGGTTCGGATCCTGGGCGTGCACCGACACACCACTTCCCCGGCCATGCTGAGGCCACATCCCACATACACCAACTAGAAGAATGTGCAACTATGACATACAACTATCTACTGGGGCTTTGGGGGGAAAAAAAAGGAGGAGGATTGGCAATAGATGTCAGCTCAGAGCCGGTCTTCCTCAGCAAAAAGAGGAGGATTAGCATGGACGTTAGCTCAGGGCTGATCTTCCTTAAAAAAAAAAAAGAAAGAAACAACGTGGATAAAGCTCAAGGACATAATGCTAAGCAGGAAAAACCTTCAAAATTAGAAGATAACTTTATTGGAAAAATTTTATACCAAATCCAAAAGAAGGGTTAAGGACAGACTAAGACATTTTCTAATACACAAACTCAGAACACAGACCTCCCATATACACTTTCCTAGGAAAGTTCTGGAGAATGTGCTTCTGCAAACTTAAGCAAAACCAAAAACAGGAAAGAAAGGGACCTAGGCAGAGGTGATCCGACAGAGAGGTACTCCCAGAATGACTCTGTAGGGAAGTCCAGACAAAGGCCAAACAGTAGACCTAGGAGTAACTAATCTAGATTTGAGCAGAAAAATGATGAGCCCTGTCCAGCGGGAAGACAACTGATTGATGTGTTTCAGACAGAAAACATTATAGATAAGCTCGGGTCAGAGGTGCAGTACTTTAGAAAGCAATTGATAACCTCAAGAAAACCAGGCAAAGGACAAATTGAGGCAATTAACATCTCCATGAAAATAAAGAATTGTACCAGAAAGACAGCATGGTTGTAGAACAGCACGTGGCTCAGTAGAGAGCCTCGTGGTCAACAGAAATCCACAGACCACACCTGAAAATAGGAATCAAGAAGCAGTAGGGGGGCCGGCCCCGTGGCTTAGCAGTTAAGTGCGCGTGCTCCGCTACTGGCGGCCCTGGTTCGGATCCCGGGCGCGCACTGACGCACCACTTGTCCAGCCATGCTGAGGCCGCGTCCCACATACAGCAACTAGAAGGATGTGCAACTATGACATACAACTATCTACTGGGGCTTTGGGGAGAAAAAGGGAAAAAAAGGAGGAGGATTGGCAAGAGATGTTAGCTCAGAGCCGGTCTTCCTCAGCAAAAAGAGGATTGGCATGGATGTTAGCTCAGGGCTGATCTTCCTTACACACACACACACAAAAAGCAATAGGAAAATATCGTTTTAAATTTGGAGATAAACTGTGTGACCAACAGCTAAAAAAATTCAAAATGGCTGCCCTCAGGAAAGGGTCTCAAGGTGGGGAAGGGAACTGCTATTTTTGGTTATAATCCTTTTAGTTACACATGATATTTTTCTTTTCTCCAAGATGGCAAATGTTTATTTGTATTTGTTACTTAAAAGACATTATTTATATATTAGGTAGATTTTTAAAGGGGCTGAATCAGTCCAGTGCTTCCAAACATAAAGATCAAATGGAATTCACGTTGATTACACCGAGGGTTCACTATGTGAAGACCTAACTATATTTAAGAAATTACTTTAGGTGCTAGCCTGGTGGAATAGCAGTTAAGTGCCCGCACTCCGCTTTGGCAACCTAGGGTTCACAGGTTGGGTTTAGATTTAAAAAAAAAAAAAAAAAGAAAGAAATTACTTTAACCCAAAAATGGTATCAACATACTGAATTTCCTTAAGAACTTTTTTTAATTAAGATATAATTTACAAACCATAAAATTCACACTTTTAAAGTGTAAAATTCAGCGGTTTTCAGTATATTTACAGTTATGTAACTATCACCATTATCCAATTCTAGAACATTTTTATCACCCCCAAAAGAAAATCCTGCACTGGTTAGCAGTCACTCTCCATACGCCCCAGTCCCCGACAACCACTAATCTACTTTCCATCTCCAGGGATTTGCTTTTGTACAAAATGCAGCCTTCGGTGCCAGGCCTCTCTCACTCAGCATAATGTCCTCAAGGTTCTGCCACGTTGTAGCACACATCAGTACTTCATTTCTTTTTATGGTTGAATAATATTCCATTGTAGGGCTATACTCATTTTGCTTATCCATTCATCAGTTGATGGACATATGGGTTGTTTCCACTTTTGGACTATTATGAATAATGCTATTATAAGCATTCGTGTAAATTCTTGTGTAGTATGTATGATCTTTTAAACTATGAACATGTATCACAGTGATAGAAATATAGAAAATATTTTAAAATTTATTATTATCTAAATCCTACATATTCTTCAAAGTCAGCTCTAGAGCCTCCTCCCGTGGCTTCCTCCCCGTCACCTACCTTCCCTCACGTACAGGAAACAAGCTGAAGGTGTTGACTCAGATTTATAAGCTTCACCTCTCAAGATTTTATGATTCTATGAACTAAGACTCCCATTCTCAATGATGAAAAGTGTCTGCTGAACCAGCTTTATATGCTTTTTAGATAATCATAGAGTAACCATGTTAGGTACTCCATCAGCTCAGTATAAATACTCACCATCCCACCATATGATGAATGGATGGTTTCAACGTGTCGTGGGTCAAAAGAAAATGTTTAAAGATCAAACAAGCCTAACGGTTTTGTAGGGGGACAATGATGACTAAGCTATCAGGAAAGGTCACTCTTTAACTGGATTAAAGTAATGCATTAAAAGCATCAGCCATTTATGATAAATTCAATTGATATTTCCAGAAATGATCTTTCTGGTACTTCTTTTGTTTTTTGTGAGGAAGATCAGCCCTGAGCTAACATCCATGCCAATCCTCCTCTTTTTGCTGAGGAAGACTGGCCCTGGGCTAACATGCGTGCCCATCTTCATCTACTTTATACGGGACGCCGCCACAGCACGGCCTGACAAGCAGGGCATCGGTGCACGCCCGGGATCCGAACCCGGGCCGCCAGCAGCGGAGCTCGGGCACTTAACCGCTACGCCACGGGGCCGGTCCCCCTCTGGTACCTTTACTACTTGGGGGAAGACGAAATTAATGTCAGGGAGGGGGGATGATCCAGTTAATTCACTGGGTTCTCTGGGCACTTCTAAACCAAATTCAATTAGTAATTTTTAGAAAAAAATTTCCAGCCTTCACTAAATATGAAAACAGTTGACATCACAGTGTGAAATTCAAGCATGTTTATGAAAGCAAAGTCCTCTGACAACTAAAGAGTAAGCAGAGATGGGTGGGGAATGGAGGAGTGTGCCTGCTTGCTTGCTTTGCCTTGGACGTCTGCTCTGATGCACAAGCATGGCATATCCCCTTCCTGTTTCCTCTGCTCCCTTTCTGCCTTACTAATTATACATCACCTCCTTTCTTTGTAAAACCACAAGACCAACGTTACAAAATCGATGCACTCCACCCATCCTTTTACTCAGCTGACAGCAAACTGAGCCAGTACAGAGGAAGCCGTCACATGACAGAGGAGCTGGTGAGGGAGGCAGACCCTGCCTACATTTTGTCGCTGAGCAAAGAAGGCAGAAGATAGTACCACAGAAGTCAGCCAGTCCAAACTTCTTGATATCTATTATTGATTTTAAAACAGACTAAGCAGAAACCCTTGTTTTGTCTAAAATCTACTCCCCTTGTTTTAGAAGGCAGGTGGTTTCAGTAAAAAACAAAACAAGAAAACTCTACTTTTGAAAGGGCGTTTCTGCAAGATTTTCTTCAAGCTTCTAGTTAAATCATTGTTCAGATGTTTATTTTCCCTAAAAAAATTCCCTTCCAGTCCCAAAAATATTCCCCACAGGTTTAGAAGCAGTTCTCAGTTTGCAGAAGCTACCACTACCCAAAGGAATACCACGTGCTCCTGCAATAAGACCAGTCACTGCACGAAATACTTCTCAGCCTGTCCCCTGGGTCTGTCTGAAAGGGACAGCTCGTCACTGCCAGGATAGCCTCCCACACGCCCAGAAGGGGGCAGCACGAGAGACGGGTGCACAGTGATGTCTACATAGGAAGCCGGGGCACATCCCCGAGAGCGATGCCAGTGGTCCCCACTACCATGGCAGCAGCAGAGACGGAGAAAAGCAGACAACTTTAAAACACATTTTGGAGGCGGAATGGACAGTACTACTAAGGAACTGGATACAGAAAATGAGTGAAAGGAGGAATCAGGGCTGACTTCCCAACATTTGATTTGCATACCTAGGTGGACAGACACGCTATTTCCTAGGAAGGGGAAGCTGGGGCACAGCATCAGGGGCTCTGCTGTGTGAGACCCTCAGGTATCCCCGGGGGAGGACACACGAGGCAGAGCGCTATCAGAGCCTGAAGCTTAAGTGGAGGAAGAAGGCTAGGGATACAATCGGTCCTTGTGACTTGTGTAGTCATGTCCTACAAAGTCCTGCTAACCCTGAACTGGTGAACACTGAACCAACGCTCCGAGAGAAATAGAGGGCTAAGGTCCTGGGGGCCCTGAACGCAACGTTTTCTCACCAGATCAACACACAAGCTTGTTTTAGGGGTGCTTCTGTTTAAGGACACCGTACTCACTCTAGATCACTGATTCACTGACATTGAACTCACACCTGAAGGAAACTTATCTAACACACTGTGTTTTCTCCATGGGGCATATCACAATCTTCTTGCACTTGGAAACACTAGACAGCACTTCAGCACTGTGCTTGGGGCCATTTTAAACAGCCAAATCACCAACAAAAAGTGCAAAGTGGCACTAAATAGAGCACATAAAGGACCCTTGTTTATAGCATGAGAGCCGGATGGAGAAGGCAGAGTGTCACCCTGGTCACCAACCTGGGAACCTACAGTGGGCAACTCCCATTTTTCACTGCTCTGCTCGTGTCCACAAATGACCGTGAAAGCACCACTTTCACATTGATTTGGGGGTTACAGATAAATTTTAGTGGGTAGGCAAATTCACAGATACGGAATCCATAAATAATGAGGATTGGCGGGATAAATTTGGGAGACATCAGAAGATAGGTAGTTCTTAAAGTCATTGGTTACATCAAATAATAATTCCAAATGTTCGAAAGATCTGATTACCTGGGAAGAAAGATGGAGAAACTTGACCTGCTTTACAAATTTGCAACCTGTTCCCAGATGCTTGAAACTGGGGACACCCCCATCTCCCTTTCTTCATTAGTTATAAAGCAGGTAGTTTGGTCTCCACTTTCTGATTCCTTTCTCTACTTCTAGGAGTTCAGAACTTGGAAGGGAAAGAAAAACATCTTATTTATTGCTCTCCCCCTGTACAGGAAAGAGCTTTATCATATGCATTTGATAGCAATTTTCATAGAAATTACCCTTAAAAAGTATCTAATTGGAAGAAAATCTCTATCATCAATTAACTGGTTTCAGGACTATGAGGATAAATAATGCTGTCAATGGTTAGGAAGATGATTGAGAATTTTTGCAAAAGCACACAAATTAGTTTGTAACTTTGACCAAGTAAATGTAAATAATGTCACAAACCTCATATCACAAAGTGATTGTACAGATTAAATTTTACATTGAAAATGTAAAATGCCTAATTAAATACAAAGCTATAGTTAGTCCTGTAGAACACGAAACTTCTTGTTTGTTCAGCATAAGACAGTCCTGCCAAAAAGTCATGTATAATCTTGGCTGAGAAACACGATATCCAAGAACACATAGAGGAAAAAAGAGTCCTCTCAGAGTTTACAATTCTCCCCAGACTTTATCTTCCCGTCCCCAGTCTTTAGGCTCGTGCCTGAGTGAGCTGGGTGGCCAGAGTCACCAGGAGCATGAAGACAAGGGGCCAAGCTCTCATCCCATCCCAAAGGCTGACAGACTAAATAAAGGATCAGAGCGCTGCTGGCATCAGTTGTTAATCACATGGGATTTACGCAGCGGCCTTAGGGAATCCCACAGGAGATCACAAACATTAAATTAGGCAGTACTAACAATTAGGATGGAAAACAGCACATAATAAGGTACTAAATAGGTGATTTAGCATACTGTAATTATGAAAAGACCAATTTCCCCAACTTTAAATTAAGTTAAATTACATTTAACTCCTGCCATCTAACTCATCTGAGGACATAAATCACTGATTCTTTAGAATAAGCTTTAATTAATACCTTAATTCCAAAGAAGATCATCTACCTGGTAGTTCAAACACTAAAAAGCTCTAAACAAAAGAACTGTTCTAAAGAGTTTATAGAATAATTCCTTTAAAAAATACATTAACACCCTCCCCCCTTTTTAAAGATTATCACTTTGAGTGGTAGTGGTGGTGTCCATCTAATGGGTACAAATGCCTCGCTGATGACCTGAGAGGGCGCCTATCCTCCAGCTACACTTGAGGGAAGGGACAAAGTGACTGTGGAGGCTCTTCCACGCTGTGTGTGTCTCACAAGTGTCATGGACAAAAGCCACTAGCTATAGAGGAGAAACTCACCCCGATATACAGAGAAACTCTGGAAGGGAAAGTGCAGAAGCACGCACGTGATGTGGACAGAAGTTTCTAAAGGGCCACACACCGTCCCCCAACTTCCGCAGTGCTCTTAGGGTGATCTGTCCACTCACGAGAATTTATACTTTTAAATTTTGCACGAAGCTTTCTCCCCAATGGAACAGAAAAAAAAAAAAGTTTTCATTTATCTGTGACTGTTTCAAGTTTTACGTCACTTTTTTTTTTTTCAGGTAAATCCAGATTTTTGTTGACTGATGGAAAAATGATAATATATTAAAACACTCTTGGGCCGGCCCCGTGGCTTAGCGGTTAAGTGCGCGCTCTGCTGCTGGCGGCCCGGGTTCGGATCCCGGGGGCACACCGACGCACCGCTTGTCCGGCCATGCTGAGGCCACGTCCCACATGCAGCAACTAGAAGGATGTGCAACTATGACGTACAACTATCTACTGAGGCTTTGGGGAGAAAAAGGGAAAAAAAAGGAGGAGGATTGGCAATAGATGTTAGCTCAGGGCCGGTCTTCCTCAGCAAAAAAAGAGGAGGATTGGCATGGATGTTAGCTCAGGGCTGATCTTGCTCACAAAAAAGAAAAAAAAAAAACAACATTCTTTAACTTATTTGCATAATATACTTATATAAAATAAAAGCTTTTCTAAGACGTACTTTAAAACTAGTTACATACCATTCCTTATTACATCTTTTACATTTTACATATAATAAAACATTTTTAAGGGGAAAAGAAAAACCCTACCATACAACTCAGCCATTCCATTCCTAGGTATTAACCCAAGAGAAATGAAAACGGACCCACACAATGACTTGTTCATGGATGCTCATAGCAGCTTTATTCACGATGGTCAAAAACTGGAAACAACCCACACACTCATGACAGGTGAAAGGATCAATAAAATGTGGTGTTCCAGACAGTGGAACACCACTCAGCAATAAAAAGGAAAGACTCATACACTTCATGCTGAGTGAGAGTCAGACGCAATAGAGAATACACTGTATGATTCCATTTATATAAAATTCTGGGAAATGCAAACTAATCAGTAGCGACAAAAAGCAGATCAGGGGGTGCCTGGGGTGGAGGGGAGGGATGGGCTGCAAATGGACATGAAGAATCTTTTCAGGACAATGGAAATGTTCTGTATCTTAACTGTGATGGTGGTTTCACTGGTGTACAAATCTGTCAACTATATCTTACCAAACTGTGCACTTTAAATGGATACAGTTTACTGTATGTAAATTATACCTCAATAAACAAATGATTCTGTGCTTAATTTTTTCAAAAAAACTACAAGAAGGCGGAACCTGAAAAGTCTGTAGCAGAGAAGTGGAAATTAATGTACTCATCACTAATTAAGGAGGTTTCAACATCACCATTGGTATCCTAGTTTGCTGTGGAGGCCCCATGAAGCCCTCAAGAGCATCTGTGGGTGATGGCCGTCGCTGCCAACACTCCCCAGGCACCTGCTGCAGGTCGACTCGCTGACTGATATACAGAGAGCACCTCAAGGGACCCTTCACAATGACCCTCATACAATGACCTGGTACAACTGTGTCATTACCCCAATTCTGTGCCCCTGAGAGAAGACAGATAATTTGCCCAAACTGCCCAACATCTGCCCAAGACGGCCAGAGTATACATTAAGGCTGACTGATGAAAGATCCCTAACAATGCATTTTGGAAAAGTATTAATAGACAAAGTTATCAAGCAAAGTTTGAGCTTCTTCCAACCAAGGTGTCCCTAAATAGGCATTGTCTTCCCTATCCTAACATGAAAGAATTTTAAAACCTATCTGTTCAGAACTAAATCACAGTTTGTATGGACTTCCTTTCAAAAGTATTTAACACATTTTGGAGACACAGGTATCTATAAAAATGCCTTAGGAACACAAAAGTTCAATCACTGGCCTGTGTCCAATAAACACAGCAAAAATTAGACTATGCTTATCTACAAGGTGGAAAGCAGATGAGTTCTCACCTTAACTTTAATTCTTAAGAAACCCTCATCTGAACTCAACAGAGAAATACAACTGGATGAAACTGATCTAAAAATATAAAGTTAAACTCACTGACCCAGTGATTCCACTTTCAGGAATCTAGCCTAAGAAAATAATCAGAAATATGGGCAAAGTTTCACTCACGATAACGTTACAGGGTTATCTGTTATAGGAACAAAGTAGAAACGTCTAAATAACCAACAAGAAAGGACAATTAAATGATGGTGCACCCATATTATGCTGTGTTTGGCAGAGGCAGGCCAGCATGGGGCCGGAGCATGCCTGCACATCTTTCTGTCACATCTGGTTGGTCAATGAGACCACAGCACCACTCGCTGGCTCCCAGGGGAGGGGACCTGGCTTGTCTGCTGCTTGCTACAAAAGGTGCTAAGCCCTTGGTCCCCGGTTCCTCAGCTGCAGACCAACTCAATTCAAGCATGGCCATCGTCTGGGCCCATCATGTCACCCCGTGGGACTTGGGGACAGGGAAGCAGCACCCTCAGGCTGAGGTCCTGCTGTCTGCTGTGCTACATGTAATAAAGTGTCTGGTTCTGACCCAGTGAATCTAACTACCTGCTCCGAGCCCCACAGAGCTGTGGCCAGCCTGCTGGCCTGCCTGTCTTCTCCTTTTGAGTCTCGCTTCTCCTGCTGTCCTCTATGAGGAGGGGTCCTTCCTTGACAGATGCCACTAAAAAACTGTCCATATAAAAATTTTAATGGCAGCGAAAAACAAATTTTTTAAGAGCTACAAAATATTCCACAGAATGACTGGAACTACTTTTTAAGCTTAATTTTTAACCCTACACTTTCCAAAAAGGACTTAAGAGGAGTGAATATGCAGGAGTATGCATAGAAAAAAAGACTGAAAGGAAATCACACCCAAACGTTCATGGGGATGGGTCCATGGGGCTTCATTATACTCTTCCTTCTATTTTTGCATGTGTTTGAAATATTCCATAGTCGTAATTTTTCAAAGTCTGCCGAAGTGCTCAAGTAAGAAGGACATATATAATTATAGCCAATCCTAACACGCCACCTAAACTGGCTTCATTTTCAGACTGTCTACCAACAGCCGCTGAGGAGACTAAAGCTACTCAGAAGATGCTCTGGCAAGGGGACTGGGCCTCAGTTCTTCCGCAGGTTTCGTGTGCCTGGCAGTCCATGACCCAGGTGGGAAAGGGGAAGGATCTTTTCAGGTCACTTCCTCTGCCATGCAGATCAGGGCTCTAAGATGACACCATCCAGGGGCTGCCTAGCAACAGGGCAACACCAAGGGAAGCTGTCTTGTTTCTAAAAGGAACAAAACAGAAACCACACAGACACCTGGGGAGGGTGAAGTGGGGAGTAGATAAACCTGGTAGCTACAACAAAGGAGTAAAAAAAACCCAAGCTTGGTTATTTTTTGCTTCTTTGATCTGCTGAGCCTCTTCTTAAAAACCTCTGAAAGCTTAGAGGGTTTTGAAAGCTCAAAACCCTCTAAGGGGAATTCTGAATGGCCTAAAGCAAAAACACATCAATTAGATGGTTACAGTTGGAGAAATGCATTTAACACTCAGCCATCCCTCCCTCAATCCTGGACACACAAATCCTCGCACTATCATTTCATACAATCAACACAGGAAATGAAGGGAACCATCTCTGGCCTGCCAACCCAAGCCAAGGCCATGCAATGTGACCCAAGGAGAGCTACGCGAGGTTCCTGAGAGTGGGTCTTCTACATCTGGGTTCCTTGAATTTGGGGGCAGAGGGGGAGGGAAGCA